AAAAAAAAAAATTAAAAAAGATTACGAATAAAAATTAATTAATTAATATAATACTGTAATTCTATTAATATATATAATATTATAAATAAAATAATTAATGAAGCAATATTATATGAATTAACTCTATTAATTGGACTATGAAACGTTCGATTTACATATTTATCAGGAAAATAAAAGAAATTAAAAATAATAACCAATAAAAATTTTGCATTCAAAGATTTTCTCATCGCAAATTAGTATTGCGGAATTTTCATGTTACAAAATCGATGAAATTTTTCTACAATAAGCTAAAAAGAAATCGCATAATTATCGTACATTATTATTTTATTTAAATTATTTCGTTTCACTTATCGTTATCTTATTTCAAATTTGAAAATAATGATTATAAATCGATATGATTGTGTTGAGCGACACCTAAATATTGAAATTAAAAATACGTGACACGCGGTGCTTCATGATTTTCCTTATATTTTTTCGTTCGAAATCCTTTTTTGTATAATATATAATAAAAGTCACGGATAATATTTGGTAAAATTAATTACCTTTTTAATTCCCTTTAAACGATCCAAATTTCCGGGAAATTAGTTTAAAATAAACCGATTAATAGCCGTTAAAAAAATATTGAACAAAGACGATATCGACAGGACGACTTCGTTATTCAAGCTGTCGCTCTTTCAAGTATATTAATCGGTTTATCCAACTCGTTCAGAGATATTTCAAACAGTATATAGAATATTATCGAGCCTCGTCGCATAACGATCACAAGCATTAACCTCTCGCTTTAACCCTTTGCACTCGACGATTTTTTAGCTAAAGAAGAGCAGGAATTCAAAGATTTTCTGCTATAATGCTGGTGATATTTTTTGGAGCAATAAATAAGAATTCGTATAATAATTAACACATAGAATTATTTCATTTCGATACCTTGCACACTTACTATTATCCCTTTCGCGACGGGTGCCGTATATATACGACAGTCACTTATTGTTTCATAGCGGCTGACGTCGTATATATACGACAGTCATTTATTGGTTTACAGCTGCTGATGTCGCAAATCAGAATTATATTAATGTATCGTTAATAATTACTAATATGTATTACTAATATGTTAACTTAATAATTACTAATACATATATGTAATATGTATTAGTAATGTATATATTAATTTCAATAGCGAACTCAAAATAAAGCTAGTACAGGTATTAGGCAAAGCAGAAAATGGTGGCGAAGTATGGTACAGGTGTGCCGTCGCGAAAGGGTTATTTTAAATTTGGTATATTAATTAATATGGAGCTTCGAAATTTTATCAAATGGCGACTAAAGGGTGCTTCTCGAGTGCAAAGGGTTAAATTTTGCAATATTTCGTATTATCCTTCGCGTTGTAATATATCGTAGGCTTGCAACGACGGTGTCAGGTATGTTGCAGGCCAGTAGTGATTTTCAGGTCTCGTGGACCTTCCCTAGTGGGTGGCCATGCTTCGGGTTTTAGTTTATAAGCACCCTCTGTTTTCTGGAAAAGCTCAGTCTTAAAGACGGTACAGTACAGAGAGCTTTATTGTACCTCACAAGGACTCGCACATTCTTTTATATCTGTATAAGTATATTTGTATCTTTCATTGATAATTGATATTTCGTTGCTATACCACCGTATACGGATAGTTCTCTTCGCATTTTAATAAACGCTGCAATTTCATTTGAGAAATTACATTTCGTATACCCTTTTCGTCGTATTACTTTCATTCTGTTACGATTTTTGTCTTATTTTGTGCTCTGCTCGAATTTCTTTCGCATTTCTTCACGTATAACTAACAAAAGGTTCGTTCAAATAAATGGTTCGAATAAATAAAGAAATAAATGAAGGAACGAATGAATAAATTAAATGGACGAACAAACAAGGAAATAAAAAATCGACAAGTTTTATGTTTTACTAAATCACGAGAAAATTTTGGATTTATACTTATATTTTCGCAATCATACTAAGGGCGTCCCATGTAACGTCGCCTGCCTTCATATTCCAATAGGCAGCAACATGATATGACCTGATCGATAACACACGTCCATGTTGTTGCACGCGTGCTAACTGTAAATATCGGCAAGTTATGTAATTTGTTAGGTTATATCGACACTGTCAGAAATGCAAAAATATATGTACACACACGTAAGAAAGTAACTATATTTTTGTTATTCGAGGAATAATTTTTGTTTCAGATTTTTCTATCTCTATCACTTCTCCTTCTACGCCTATCATTACCGATTTAATGGACAGTACAGCAGCTTGGCACTCGTTACATCCTGGTTCTTCATACAGGTGAGCATATTTTTATTCACGCATGAGATTTCTTTTCAGCTCGTTCAGCTTTTTGATTTAAATTATCGACGAACGAATTTTCTCGCATTTTTGAAACGATATTTTCGCGATAAAATATATAAAATAAATCGTAGAGTAGGTTTTGGAATTAATAATATTCGCGAATATGGGGAATTAATACTAATTAACCTGTCATGGCTAAACGGTCATATTTAATTTTTAATTACGTATTTCGAATTCGACGTTGTTGCTTTACTCACTGTTTTTTCAATTTTCTTTTTCTTTTAACGTAGATATAATTAAATTTTTAATATTTCCTCGTATTCCATTTTTCTTAAGTTCTTTCTATTTTATTTCTCTGTCTATCTGTCATTTGACTGGTCATGCTAGGTTTATTGTTAGAGAAGAATGTGTTTCGTTATTAGGAGATATATTTGTGTTCTGTTAAAGCTGTAATTATTACTTAGTAATACATCGGCAATACTCGAACATCTCTTCGATTTAAAGAAAGATGCATAAAATAAATTTTAATTTTCCTTCAAATCCATCGACAAAAAAAAAATTAATTTTCAAACACAATGAACTTGGATCATAAATGCACGAAGGTGATGCAAAGAAAGAACACTTAGATGAATATACATAGTTATCTTATTAATATACATAGTTGCATAAATTCATTGTATCAGCTTTTAAATGGAACAAGAATTGTCCAATTTTACTCCAGTTTTAAACAATTTATTATTTTTATGTTTATTAACAGTGAACGTAGATCATAAATGCACGAAGGTGATGCAAAGAGAGAACACTTAGGAGAATATACATAGTTATATTATTATAGTTATCTTATTAATATACATAGTTACATAAATTCATTGTATCAACTATCAAATGGAGCAAGAATGGTCCAATTTTACTCTAGTTTTAAACAATTTATTATACAATTGCCCAGAAATTATACAATTGTATAATTACAATATACAAATGTAATACAATTGCCCAGATATTAAAATATTTATCTCGTCATGTTGCAACCTAACTTCAATATCATTATTTCACGTCAATCTTTCGTTCTCGTTATGTTAGCTTCTCCAAATTAAATTATCTCGCTCAGAAATTATACAATTGTACAATTACAATATACAAATGTTCTACCATATTATCTAGATATTAAAATATTTATCTCGTCATGTTGCAACTTAACTTCCCTATCGTTAATTATACAATTACAATATACAAATGTAATAGAATTGCCCAGATATTAAAATATTTATCTCGCCATGTTGCAACTTAACTTCCCTATCGTTAATTGTACAATTACAATATACAAATGTAATAGAATTGCCCAGATATTAAAATATTTATCTCACCATATTGCAACCTAATTTCAATATCGTTATTTCACGTCAATTTTTGGTTCTCGTTACGTTAGCTTCTCCAAATCAAATTATCTCGCCCAGAAATTATACAATTGTACAATTACAATGTACAAATGTAATACAATTTCCCAGATATTAAAATATTTATCTCGCCATGTTGCAACTTAACTTCCCTATCGTTAATTATACAATTACAATATACAAATGTAATACAATTTCCCAGATATTAAAATATTTATCTCGCCATGTTGCAATTTAACTCCCGTATCGTTATTTCACGTCAATCTTTCGTTCTCGTTACGTTAGCTTCTCCAAATGAAATTATCTCTGCACGTAGCAGATACGGATTAAAATTTCAAGAAAATCATACGATCGCGGTCGATTATGTATCTTATCATCCGCGACTGACGTCGTTGCTCGAATCTCTCCGGCAAACAAATAACCCTCGTTACCCGTGAAATTTATCCGGCGATTATCAATTACGCTGAATCTTCTCGAAAAATCTCCTATCCGGACCAAACCTCCTTACGAATTTATAACCGCGACAATAACGAATGGAACACGATGAACACTACCCCGCTGTACGAGAATGGCAAATGGCCCCGGACACGGTGTTCCCTGCATCGACAAATAGACCGGTTTAGCAGAGCAGGAGATATTCGTAATATCTCGAGGTCCGTACGAGGAGTGTACTTAGGTAAAACGGTTGCAGGATTAAGACGCGAACAAGCAGTCGTCGTGGATGGGTATAGTGCTCGCTCGTAAACGCGGTAATCCCAATGGAAATACAAAAGTTTGCGCGAAGAACGGTCATTCGTTCGCGTTGAAAACCGGACATTAATCAGGAATACTAGGCGACCTACTTGAGAGAGGAGAGTTGTTCCGAATATATATATGTTTCAGGGGTGTTTAGCGTTGGGTGGCCACGGTTGGGTGCTCGTGCCTGGCCCAGACAATGGCCACGCGTACCGAAATTATGTCACGCAGTACTTCTCCCCTTTGGCGTACGCCCATCTGATCGATCATTCCATCCTGACATCGATCGCGTGGAATTTCTCAGGAGGGCCGCAAATGTGTTTGCCTTTCAAATTGCTTAGCCTCCCGGATGCTCGTCGGCCGCGAAAATATGTTTTCTCTCGTACGGCTAGAGCTCGTTCGATTGAACGCTTGTGCTAGCTGAATTAAATCGATGAGGGACCTAATGAAGGAACGTTACGGGGTGGATTCGTTTAATGCACGTGGAAAGAAGATCGCGCAGCAAGTGTTGTAACTGAACTCGAATTTGTCGTTGATATTTTCTGCCCTAGAGTCGAGCACGTTTCCGGGAAGAGAGCCAATCTGTGAGCCAAAATGGCGAACTGGGAAGATTTTGTTAGTGGTGGATGAAATTTAATAACAATAAGAACAATTATTTATTTAATTACAGAGATTATCAAACACAAATATTAGGTTGAAATATAATTATTTCATCACTATCACATCCTCACGCGTCTTCTCTCTATTAACCCTTTGCACTCGAGAGGTGACCCTCGGTCACCATTTCATAAAATTTGGAAGATCGATATTAATTAATATATCAAATTTAACGTAATGTAACAGTGGGCAAGGTATCGAAATCAAATAACTCTACAATTCTATTATTATATAATTCTTTATTTACTGCCCAAAAAAGTATCGTCAGTTTTTTAATAGAGAATCCTCGATTTTCTACTCTTCTCTAACGATGAAATCGTCGAGTGCAAAGGGTTAATACTCGATTGCAACTGACGTATGCCAAATCATTCTCCTTTTTTTCTTTTTTCTTTCATACATTACATTAACGTACACAATTCACATAACACCTCAATAATTACACGCATACTCGTTTATCATTATAACCTGAATTCATTAGATATTTCCATTCCATGCATACTTGTTCCGCTCATCCCAACACATATATATTTAAATATCTATGTAACCGCTACCACAAATTTAATTTCAGCTTCTTCGATATATCTAACTTTCTTGCACGATTTTCATCCTCACGATTTATTCGCAATTATGCGAGCTTAATCGATCAAATACTAATCCAATCGGCACAGCCTAGATAACTATTTTGAAATTTTTTATTAAAAATTTTGTATTGTTCTGGTATAGCACTCCTGGTCACTTGAATTCTCGATTTTTTACTCTTGTTTAATTCTTTTTTTCGTTTTTCTCTCTTCACTTTTTCATTTACTGGCCTTTTGACCGGTCCTGGTAGGTTTCGCGTTGAATTGTTTAATCTAAATAACCGGGTTTAGAAATTTGATTGAAAATTTTGCATTCAACGTTGTCGCTTTGATCACTCGACTTTTCGAGTTTTCTTTTATTACGGGTATTATCAATTTTTCTATAGCTTCTTTTATACCATTTTCATTGAAGTTTTTCCTCTTTTATTGCTTCTCTGTTTCCACCTCTCTTGATTCCATCTATCCAAAACGCGATACAGTAGTACAGTATTTTATTAAAGTCTTCCAACAATTTATCGTAATCGTACTGCGTGTTACGTTTTATCGGTCATCGAAGAAATATACCACGAAAATAGAAAATTTCCCGAAAATTTTAGAAATTTATCACACGTTTAGTTCAAGGAAAATAGAAAACGTTGCAAAGTGACACAAATGATAATTCCGATTGCAGAATTTCATAATTAATAATTAAAAGTCGATAATTAATAATTGAAAGTTATCAGACTGGCCATGATAGGTTGCCATCGATAATTAATATTACGTGTAAATTAATAATTTATTTTTCCGTTGGTAAATTGAAAAATTCCTAATTTATTTTATTAATTTTTCAATTATGTTTCCTTTACGTTTCTATTCAAAATTGAAAAGAGGATATGAGACGAAAAATCGATATGTCTGATAAGCCACGTTGGAATTTCTGCCTGTACGAGGATATAAAATGTATGGCGAATATTTTGCGAAACATTTCAGTGGATTCTAGAGAAAGATCTGCTATTAACAGTATTGACAGCGAATGAAGAACTGTTTCATTGTAGTTTAAACTCGGTATCGCTCCAAGTTAAGTTACGTAAAGGCGACCAGAATGGTGCACCTGACAGTTAAATCGATGAGAATAATTTAATGCCAACTTAGGATTTCAATGAGCAGATATAATACCATTTGATCTTACTCTTATTAAATTCTACTTTCCTCGTACGTATCTCGATAATATTGGCTCGAGTACATTTGATCTTGAAGAATGTTGATCGCACTCGAGATATTCGAGAATCATATTTGTCTGCTCGGATATATCGATAATCCTGCTTTCTTTTAAGTCGATTATATTTCGCGGAAAAATCTGCAATTACGGAACCTTGTATCAAAAACTCTATCGATACTCCTTGCCAATGTAAAATTCAATTATTAATAAATTCAAATATACAGCGTATTTTTTAAATGGCGAGGCGAGATGGAGATGGGTGAATCTATGTGAAAAAATAAATCGAAAACGTAGAGTGACAATTTTTCATTCGGGACTTTGTTTGCGAGTAAATAAACATAGAAGATTCGTTGGATGTGCTTTAAGCTACACGTGAAAATAAGAAAGAAGAAAGGAAATGGAAAGTGCTTCCAATAATTTTAAAATGATTTATTT